TGAGCATTTTGTGGACTTTTTAAAGATACTTTGAACAATATGCTATTTAAAATGGCTCAAACAATGCTGAGCTGACTTCAGAAAATAATTTCTTTGCCAGGGCTCTGACTATCCCTCCCACGCAGACACACACCCATCCCCCCAGCTCATACAAAAGAACACAGGGAGACCTCTGGGTTTGCTCACTTTGAACCTTGAACAAAAACCTTGTGGATCCAACCGGAATTATTTCAGAGGCGCCTGGTAACACTGCGGGGCAGACAGACAGGCCTGACAGCACACCATTATAAACGCTCACTTCCCTGAGCCGTGGGGGAGCGGAGGCCAGGCAACGGCTCCACCGCAAGATATTTGAAAGCCTTCTTTTCAATATTGACTGGCTCAGGAAAGTTACTGTTCAAAGGATTCCTTCATCAAAAGCAGTTGCCAGCTGCAGTGACTGGGCAGGGGGTGAGGGTCACGCTCCTGCCTGGGCTACCAGCTCTCAGCAGTGATTCATCTGCACAGACAGGGCTTGAAAGTTCACAGCCAAGCTCCAGAGTCCTGTTTTAAATGCGCAGGTCAAACTCCCAGGCTGTGAGGAGAAAGCCTGTGGTCCAGCTGGGGGTACAATCAACTGCCAACATTTGGAACCTCAGGAACTCCAACATCGCTGGGCCAAAGAGTGCTGTGCCCGTGTGATGCTGTGAGTTTACTTTTCATCCAAACCAAAACTGTTAGTGGCTACTTTGTGCCAGGCCCCATGCTGGGGGCTGGGGTCACAGGTCCCTGGCCTTGTAAAGCTCAGACCTCATGGGAAGCTGACTACATGGTCCGATGGCTACTTTTAAAAAATATACACCAAAAATATATATATTATTTATAGGCAAAGAAAGCAGATGGAAGACATCATACCACGTGTGTGGGGTCAGCTGAGATGGGAGCCCACACTCCTCTTTTAGAATGCCAGAGACTGTCCCTCCCCTCGGGGTGACAGTTAGATATGGGGACAGACAATACACAGAAGGCAGGAGTCCTCTGTTAGGGGTGTGCGGTGCCATGAGATCATCCTGTGGAGCATGGGACTTGAAGGAGGTGAGGGGTGGGCTGTCAGCACCTGGGAACAGAGACCTTGTGGCAGAGCGGCAGTGAGCGAGGGAGGTAGCAGGGCACTACAGGTGCTATGTGTGCCAGGCCTGGGGGCCACGGGAGGACTCTGCCTTTCATCTGGGTGAGAGGGGAGTAATTAGTGGGCCCTGAGTAGAGGGAGACACGGCCTTACTTGAGGTTTTTGTTTTTCGTACTTTTTTATTTTTTTGAGACAGGCTCACTCTGTGGCCCAGGCTGGAGTGCAGTGGCGTCATCATAGCTCACAGCAATCTCAAACTCCTGGCCTCAGCCTCCTGAGTAGTTGGGACGATGTTGCTCAGGTTGGGCTCAAACTCCTGACCTCAAGTGATCCTCCCACCTCAGCTTTCCCATGTGCTGGGATTATAGACGTAAGCAACTGTGCCCAGCCTGCCTTGAGTTATAGCGGGACCCCTCTGGCTGTCAAGAATGGACTGTGTGTGCCCAAGGACAGCTGTTGAGAGGAGGGTGTTGCAATAATGCTGGGGGGGGGGGAGTGCTTGGTTCCCAGGTGGTAACAGTGGAATGGGGAGAAGGAGTCAGATTCAGGATGTATTCTGAAGGTAGAGCCACTGAATGGCCTGACGATTAGAGGAGGGATGTGAATGTAAGAGGGGACTGGAAGACATGGGAGTTTTGCTAAGGCCGGCTGGGGACTCAAGAGCTGACAAGGAGAAAGTGGGAGTAAGGGGGAGCGAGAGTCCAGGACTGAGGCCTGGCTCAGTGGCTCATGCCAGTAAGCTTAGCACTCTGGGAGGCTGAGGCAGGTGGATCACCTGAGCACAGGAGTTCAAGACCAGCCTGAGCAAGAGTGAGACCCTGTCTCTAAAAATACCTGGGCGCTTTGGTGGGCACCTATAGTCCGAGCTACTCAGGAGGCTGAGGCAAGAGAATCACTGAGCCCAAGAGTTGGAGGTTGCTGTGAGCTGTGACTCCAGAGTACTCTACAGAGGGTAACAAAGTGAGACTCTGTCTCTAAATAAAAAGAAAGAGTCCAGGACTGAAACCCCTGTATCACTATACACACCAAGAAACCCTGCTAGTGGGAATAAAAACAGTGCAGCCACTAAGGAACACTGGTCATTCCTTAAAAGTCAAAATAAAATTACCACAGGACCCAGCCACCCCACTCCCAGTATGTATACCTGAAAGAGAAATGATATTATATGAAGAAATAAAAATTCATACACAAATGTTCATAGCAGCATCATTCACAATAGCCAAGAAGTGGAAGGAACTTAGTCATCAACTGGTAACTGGATAAACAAACTGTGACCTCTCCGTATAACAGAATATTATTCAGCACTAAAAAAGAGTGAAGTAGGCCAAGCAAGGTGGCTCAGGCTTATAATCCTAGCACTTTGGGAGGCCAAGACGGGAGAACTGTTTGAGGCCAGAAGCTCAAGATCAGCCTGAATAAGAGCAAGACCCCCTTCCCTACAAAAATTTTTTAAAAATTTCCCAAATGTGGTGGTGCTAGTGTAGTGTGAGCTACTCAGGAGGCTGAGGCCAGAGGATGACTAGAGCCTAAGGGGTGGAGGCTGCAGTGAGCTATAACGATGCCACTGCACTCTAGCCAGGGCAACAGAGTGGGACCCCGTCTCAAAACAAAGAAAGGTACTGATCCATGCAACAACATGAATAAACCTTGCAAACATTATGTCAATATCTTCAAAAGGAAGCCAGTCACAAAAGGCCACCTACTGTATGATTCCACTTAAATGAAATGTCCAAAATAGGCAAATTCATACAGATGGAAAATAGTGATTACCTGGGGCTGAGCAGTAGGTGATAAGGAGGATGGGTTAACTAGTACAAGAATTTACTGGCTTGGCGCCTGTGGCTCAAGTGGCTAAGGCACCAGCCACATACACCTAAGGTGGCGGGTTGGAATCCAGCCCGGGCCCGCCAAACGACAATGACGGCTGCAGCCAAAAAATAGCCGGGCGTTGTGGGGGGCACCTGTAGTCCCAGCTACTTGGGAGGCTGAGGCAGGAGACTCGCTTGAGCCCAGGAGTTGGAGGTTGCTCTGAGCTGTGATGCCAGGGCACTCTACCCAGGGGACAAGCTTGAGACTCTGTCTCAAAAAAAAAAAAAAAAAAAAGAATTTACTTGGGGCAGGGTAATAATAAAGTTCAAAATTTAGGTTATGGTTATGGCTATAAACTCTATATATGTACTAAAAACCATTGATTTATGAACCTTATATGAGCAAACTTTATGGTATGTAAATGATAAGTGAAATGTATTCTCCTCTAAAAAAGGAAAAAAGAAAGAAAAACAAAAACAAATGAAAACACCTTATCCAAAAGGAAAACACCACAGTGTCTCCTACCCCTAGAAATAGCCATTGAATCCCTTTGAGAATCTGCCCATCTTTTTCTAAACATTTCCCTACAGAAAATATTTAATATTGTTTTGTGTGCTTGTGCTGTTCTTGTTTGGTAAGCAGTAACAACGCACAAAACCTGCTGCAACTCGCCCTGTTCACGTGGTCATTATTCGGTGACCTGTCCGGACTGACATCCTGATGGACACCAGCTGGTCTCCATTTGCTCACTATGGATGCAGTGGACGTCCTGGGCACACATGCTTTTTTAAGGTAGAAGCCAAAAAACGGAACTCTGTAAAACTTTTTGCCAAATTGCCAACTTAAATAATTTTTTAATTATAAAAAACCTTCAAAACATGCAAATCCAAAATGGTTAGGAAGGAACATTCCCCTCCCAGCAGAGATGTACTTTAGGCACAGTCTTCAAGAAGAAGTAGGAACTTGCCAAGTGGGCAAAGTGCTGATTCTGGGAGCCTATGGCAGAGGGGACGGAATGTTACTGCTTTTCGAACTCAGGATTTAACATTTAAACTCATACGCGAGGCGACATTCTGCCCCCTTACAGACAGGGACAGTTGAGAGGCTGCATCTTGCTCAGACAAGGCTGATAACCATCCCCGACGCAGGAAACAGGTGGACAAGATCACTGCACCTCTCCTAAAAAAAAGGAGGGGGGGAATCAGTTTAGCACTCACCCGAGAAACAAGATTTTCTGTCATCTTTTAGAAATGTGTTCTGAAGCATCAGAGAAAATGTGAGTCAAACAGCAACCTGTTAGCTTACCCCCAGCTCAGAGACGGACCAGGAGCCCATCACTTTCCCAGGAGTTCTGTCCCACCCCCCAAAAGCGCGCGGGAGGGGTGAGCGCTTAGAGAGCAAAGGGGGCGTCTCAGATTGGCTCCTCAGCTTCTCCCCAGCTGGATGCCCTGACTTAGCCCTTCCCTCTCCAGCCTGCTTCCTCCTCTGCTCCGGTTACCACGTGGAGCTCTGTACACAGTCCACGGTGGGGCGAGAAGTGGGTCTGGAAACCCGGCAGCTACAGTTAGGCTGCAGAGGAGCCGGGACAAGCTTGCTGGGCAACCCTCGAAAGGCTTTCTGGGGAGAGGAGGAGGAGTGGCGCGAGGGCGTGGGCTGCCGCCCCCAGGTGCCTCCCGCCTTGACATCTCAGGCCGGGTCTCCGACAACTCTCCACGCCAGGCGGGCGGGGCAGAGGGAGGAGGGAGTTGAGCGCTGACCCGCCCTGTAGTTGGAGGAAAAGAGCAGATGCCAGGAACCCCCTGGGAGTGTTGGGGGCAGAAGAGCCTGGGAGTCACCGACAGGAGCTAGAATGGGAGGGAGACCCTGTAGTGACGGCACCGCTGGGTTTTCAGGGGCTCCTGGGCCCTCCGAAGCAACTGGCGTAAACACAGGCGCCCTGCCGGGCCAGTGCAGCTGCTGGACACTGTCCCCCGCGCCGCTCCAACCAGACCGCGACGGCTAAGCCCCTCCTTTCGAGAATCTCCGGAGCCGCCCCTGGAAGTAGTGGGGCGGAGGGACCGGAGGAGCAACGCGCGGCGCAGCGATGGAGCCCGGCAGCCAGGACGCGGAGGCCGGCTCGGAGGGCGCGGCAGGCGACCCGTACCGGCGGCCGGCGCGGCGCACGCAGTGGCTGCTGAGCGCCCTGGCGCACCACTACGGGCTGGACCGCGGCGTGGAGAATGAGATCGTGGTGCTGGCCACCGGCCTGGACCAGTACCTTCAGGAGGTCTTCCACCACCTGGACTGCCGCGGCGCCGGCCGTCTGCCCCGCGCCGACTTCCGAGCGCTCTGCGCGGTGCTGGGGCTGCGTGCTGAGGGGACAACCGCCGCTAGGGAGGCAGCTGCGGAAGACGTGAACTCCAAGAATGTGAGCACCGGGGACGCGGCCCCTGTGACTGACGCGGATTCCGATGCCGAGGAGGAGGCGCGCCTCGCGCTGCATGCCGAGCCGCCAGAGCTCACCTTCCGCCAGTTCCACGCGCGCCTCTGTGGCTACTTCGGCACTCGCGCAGGGCCCCGGCTGCCCCGCGGCGCTCTCAGCGAGCACATCGAGACGCAGATCCGCCTGCGCCGCCCGCGCCGCCGCCGCCGCCTGCCCCGAGTGCCCGGCCCGGATGGCGGCCCCGACGGTGGTTCCGACGACGAGCGCGTGGCGCGGCTGGAGGAGGAGAACAGCAGCCTGCGCGAGCTGGTGGAGGACCTGCGCGCCGCTCTGCAGAGTAGTGACGCGCGCTGCTTAGCGCTGCAGGTGCGCTCCGGCTGGAGAAGTTGTGGGGAGCAGGGGCTGTAATGACTCCGACAGGGTTTGTCTAAACCACGGGCTGGCTGCAGAGTCCGCTCTGGGCAGGGGAGGAGGAAGGAAGGAAGGAGGTATAGAGGACGCCCTACTCCATCCCACCCCCACTTGGGCCCATTTGCATCCTGTCCCGAACCTATGCCATCACTCCCAATCCCCACGCCATTCTTACCCCTCATTCCACCCCCCAAACCCTGAGTGACACGCAAACACCCACACTTTCCTGCCCCACGTGCCCCATCTTGTCTTAACCCCTTCTAACCCAGGAATAAACCTGACTGGGTAGTCTCACACGTTCAGTTATTCAGAAAGCGTCTTGGCTTCCCTTCCAGCCAGACTTAGGAGGTTTAGGAGCGAGGTGTGAAGAAAGCCCCGCCCCTACCCTTAAGGCCTCCCTGCCTAAGGCAGTAGACGGACTTAGTCATTTAGCAAATACACATGGGGCCCCCTCAGGCCCAGGCCTAGAGCCCAAGTGAGAAACAGACTCGGTGGCTTACGCTGTGGATCAGGCCGTCACTGACCACGAAGTGCCCATGGGAGCACAGAGCCACTCTGGGTTACTGAGACAGAACCACTGGGTGAGACATGGACCCATCCCTGGCGTCTAGGTCGGTCACCAGTTCAGCACTGTGCTGGGCTGTGTACCAGGGACAGTGCTGGGGACCAGGTGTCAGGGAAAGAAAGGAGCAGCCCTACCTCCAGGGGACCACAGGCCAGGAGGCAGTGCCAGAGAGGCAAGGTGTGGTTTTCACTAGCCACGTATGTGAAAGGGGAGGACACGTGGCAAGGGGCACCAGCTAAGCCAGGGTGAGGAATCACAAATCCTAAGAGGTGGGCTGAAAAGAACGTCTAGTATCATTCATTCTCGGTATTTCCATAGCACATACTGTGTGCCAGAACTGTTTTAGGCTCTGAAACACAGTGATAAAGAAACCCCGCCCTCAGCGAGCCAAAAGTCTAATGAGAGACACCAAGGAGGGCTGGAAATGCCAGTCCGAGGTGCCCAGACCGTTCCTCAAGTCTTGGGGATGAAGAGCCGCCGCAGGCTGAGTGCCAGCAGCGCAGAAGAGAGAACAGCCGTGAAATCTGAGAATCATAGGGGCCACGCAAACATCAGGCTCCAGACTTCACGTCTCGGTGTCCCGCGACCATTAAAAAAAGGGGGTGAGGCTCGGCGCCTATAGCTCAACCGGCTAAGGCGCCAGCCAC